CTCCAAGATCACAGTGAGTGCTGGTGCGTGGCCAGCACCAGGAGCTCAGCATTAGAAAAGTACACTCACTTCACAAAAGAAAGCATTGCATGCCTCAAGAGAAAACCACAGGACTCCTCCAAGGCAAAAGCCTCTAGTCGATATGTGTCTCACGGGCACAGCCCTTCAGAAGGTGGAGCCCTATTGGCAGCATTCGTGGCCTCTCACTGCCTGTCGCTTTGGCTCACAGAAGGTCCCCAGAAACCCTCTGGTCCAGCCCCTTTTGTGACACGTAGAGAAACTGAAGCCCTAAAAAGTCAAGATCACCTTCACACAGGTGAAGAAGGTCACTGTGATGAGCATGGTCACCCAGAGGAGGCACCTGAGGTCCAGAGACATCGGGACAGCTGCCTAAGGTCTCATCCAGAAATGGAACCCAGGGATTCTGACTCCCACTTCTCTCTCTCTCCTTCTCTCCCCCTCTCCCTCTCCCTCCCTCTCACGTGCCTCTTACCTACAGCCGTGCATTTTTTTTCACCTTGTTGCTTGTCTCTGGGGAGGGCTGCCAGGCCTGACTTTCACCTCAGTGGAAGCTCCGCATTGGGACAGGGATTTATATCCTCGATCTCCAGGGATTTCCTAATCTGGTTTGTGTCACTCTCTCCAACTGGGTGGCGATGGACACACCTTTTCCCTCTCACGGGGGAGCACCCCGGGCTATAGTGCTGGGTATGTGATCTCTCAGATGGGGAAGTGGCCAAGGAAACTCTGTGTAAGTTTCCCAATTTTTTTGTGACTCGCTAAGACTTACATCCTTCCAGCTGAGAGATGGTTATAAATGGCGTGTACTTTGCCCCAACATGAGGGAAGAGGGCCTGTTGGTTTTTATTCAGTGGGATAGTGGCTGTTTTCTCTCTTTGGCACCTTTCTGGGATCAAAGGAAGGTTAAGCTCATGAGTCCCCAGCTCCCAGTCTTAAACGATTTTTAATTGTTAAGTGAAAGAAAAGGGTGATTTTCCAAACCTTTATTACAGTTTGTGGAATTTACCTAACTGAATAGTTTGTACTATGAAATGAAAATTCGGTCTTAAGTCATGTCTGTACAAAACATATGTCGCCTAACCTCCCCTAACAGACCCAAAGGTAGCATGAATGACACCTCTCTTCCTGTCACAAGTCACCCCTATCGGATTAGAAAGGGCCACAGGAGCTTGTACCACAGACACACAGGGCCAACTTCAGCCCTGCTTCCCCACATCACTGATTCAAAGCCCTGCTGTCCAGCCTAGATGAGGCTTTGAAAAGCTTGTAGTCCAGTGCCCTCTTTGACATGGACAGGAAGCCATGGGGGCCAGGGAAGGGCTTGGCCAGCTCCAAGGAGGCATGGGGCCATAACTTCAACCCTGTGGGTCCCCGAGTTCTCTTGCCTACATGTTGGGACGTGTGACATAGTTTAGGCAGAGGTGTAATAGAGATCCCCCTGTTGGTGGATAGAAGGAAAGAACACTTTTCAAAATGTCCTTTAAAAATCCATGTTACTAACCCTAATGAGACTTCCTATCTGATTTATTCAGATATTAAGATTCTTCCAGATGAAAAGCCAGATGCAGAAACTCTGTTAGAGAAATCTTAGGAATTTCATATCCAGAACAAATGGCTCCAAGTCAAAAGGACCCACCGGCCCTAGTTTTATCCTTTTGCTAACAAGAAAGGCAACTCTCGGAGGTCATGACTCAGACTGGATAAATGAAATCTGAGAAAAATCCAGTGTTGAAGCTAGATGGAAACTTAGAGATGTTCAAATCCTTCATCCGGTTAAGAAAGCAAACTGAGGTACAGGCACCTAGGGGAACCACGCGTGAGGAAGCTGTATTAATTTAATGATGTATATAACAATTAAAGATCAATAGTGTTCTCATGGGAGCTGGGAATACCCCCAAAATGGAGTTAGTTGGGCAAGGGGTAAACGCTACATTTTCCGTGTTTATTCTTTTTCTGAGGACCAGTTGAGGGGCAATGTTCGTTTTTGTCCCATAACGTTGAGCTGTAAATTTGGGGTCAAACTAAGTCAGTTTCAAAGGTGTGAATTCATCCCAGCAGAAAAACCTCACCAAATACCATCATCATCCCAGGATGAAGGGCATGAGAATAAGCAATCACCCTCCCGGTGATCGAAGACATCAAGCGCATCGGTCTCAACTGACCTGCCTCACTTGGGATCCTAGCTATTAAACAGCACAGGGCAGCCCACAACTTAATATAGCCAGAGAGGAAGTGAAATCATGCAATCTGCCTTTGGCCGTGCTAAAGCATAACTGCTGATCTTGTGATCTATAAAGAGGAATTTACATAACCTCACATCTTGCTGTTGGAAAACTCCATCATGAAGCTACAAGAATTGCTTGAATAGTCCTTTCAAGACGGAATGCCTCACACCCAACAGTCAGCCCAAAATCCCCAAGTCTGCGGTTGTACTCACACGACAATGGCTACCTGCCCGATACCCCTCCGCTCCCCACGGCCTATACAGTCCTGTTCTCACCATCGCCAGCACATTTGGTTCAATTTCTCCACCAACTGATGGGAAATAGACAAGGCACAGAACGTGCCAAAGGATCTCGAAATCCTTTGAGGTTTGAGGTGAAAGTCACCCAGGATGTTTACTGCAAGGATTGAAGCAATGAGTCTTCACTTTTTAGACCCAGGAGGCCTTTCCAAAGTCTGTTCTGGTTCAGAAATCAACAGCATCTACCGAAAACCTTTGTGGCAAGATTCCGACCATTTTTCCTTCTTTGATGTGGAGGCCAGAGGATCAGGAAGGTGAAGAGGGAGCTTGGAGGAGAGAGGGAGAGCATGTGTTGGCCAGTATGTTAGGTATTATAATGGACACTATTTGTCCCTGGTTTCATGGAACATCCTGTCATGTTATCTTCATAAATTCATTTACTTGCATCAGATGAGGATCCTCCATTTTGATTCAAGAAAATATATCGTGGAGGAGACACTTTGTGACGTGACTGCTGCCTGACCAGCAAGCTGGACCCAGGCCAGAAGAGAGGTTACTTACCATATATGCCCCTTCGAGACCATCTGGTTATAATTGATGTTCATTGTGACATAAGTCAGGACCCATCCCCTGCCTTCCGCTACATGCTGGTTCCTGGTTGTCCTGACCTGGTCACACATGTAAAGTAACTTCCATACCTGGCAGCATTCACCTGCTAGAACCTGTGACAATTCCCTTTTTTGCCCTAGATAATTCTTTGGCACCTGCCAAGCAATATGGGGATCCGGGTCATCTTGCAGCTGCCCAAGATGCGCCTCGCATGTGAATGTCCCTTAATAAACTCTGTTAATCACCAGACTGGGGTGGACAGCCTCTTTCCTCTGGCTTTCCCTGCCCTCCCCTTACAGAGATGGATTTTTGGTCCTGGGGGCCTTTCCCTGGGTCTGTGTGTGGTAGCATACACTAATTGGACGGATAGGGTCAATTTAGCAATCAGACCCCATAAATGTAAAACTTCTAAGGTGCCCAGCTCTGGTCAGCTGGACAATAACAGGAAAAAAAGAAAAGAAAAGAAAAGAAAAATACCTCTGTGTCTTATAGAAACCGGAGAAAAGTCATTCCCTTTCCATAAATAACTTATGAATTAACGAAGTCAAAATTAAATATTGACTGCGCATGGACTTCAGTCTCTTTATCTGTCAAAACAGGGCTAAGGTCTGTATTAGCTTCCTATTGTTGCTGTAACAAATCCCCACAAACGGTGGCTTTAATACAACACAAATTAACTCTCTTCCAGTTCTGGGGGTCAGAAATCCAACACAGGTCTCAGCGGGCTAAGATCAAGGCGTTGGCAAGGCTGATTCCTTAGGGAAGGTCCAGGGGAAAATCATTTTCTTATTTTTTCTGGCCTCTAGTGGTTGTCATCCCTGGACTGCTGTCCCCAGCACATGGCTTTTTCTCCTGCGTCTATCATCATGTGGCCTCCTTCTTCCTCTGACCCTCTTGTCTTCCTCTAATAAGGACCCTCATAAGTATATTTGGGGCACAATCAAATAATCCGGGATAATCTGCCCCCTGAAAATCCTTAACTTAACCACATCAGCAAAATCCCTTTGCCATAGAAGGTAACATAATCATAGGTGGTGGGGCTTAGGGTGTGGACGCGTTTAAGGTACTATCATTCAGCCTCCCATAAGCTCTACAGTGCCTTCTGGTTCATACAATTTGTGCTTTATGACTGTAAGCAGAAATGTAGACAGCGGCTCTAGTTTACTCTGGATTGGAACATGATTCCCTTCAAAGGTGTGAATTCATCCCAGCAGAAAAACCTCACCAAATACCATCATCATCCCAGGATGAAGTTTGTCAAGTGAGTATAGGCAGAGTACGCACAGAGCCACAGGAGAGATTTTATTTTGCCATTTGATTCAGAGAAAATCCTATCTTTGTTGTGGAAAGGCTTTTTCTTTCCAAGCTTTCCTTTTGCTTCCTTCTCCCCACCTTAATTTTCAGTGAGAGACACCGGGAAGGGATGACCCTGACACTAATGGCTGCTGCCCATTCTCTCCCTCCAGCCTCCCACAGGACCCAGCACATGAGTGGGAGGGGAGGAGGAAGCTGGTCCATTTCATGCTTCCTCTCCCTCCCCAGGGCGCTCTGGTCCACCCCCGGACCCAATGTCACAGAGTCCTCCGCTCTTCTGCTCCTCCATCCACGCACCCTGGCCTCCCCTCCACGTGGCGCCCAGGAGGCTCCAGACAGGCCCACCTACTCTGATTTAAGGCTCGCTCTCTCCCTTGCGTGGAATGGACACCCTGCCTCCCTCAGCCTTGCCCCCCACCTTCCGGGCTTGGGACATGTCACTGCTGGGGATGTGGCCTGTCCAGGAGAAAATCCCTAGCAGCCGACCTCACAGGACACCGATAGGCCACGCACTGAAGTGGGGCCACACTCTGCTCAGTGGGAGAGATAAAGCAAATTCCTTTCCTTAGAACCAGAAAGGGGGAAGTTTTCCTCACAATAGAGATTCGCTCTCTATCGTGAGATTATTCACCCTACTATTATTCTGCTGCTGAGCACCAGCTCCAACGTTCACCCACCGAGGGTGTGCAGAGGGACATGGCTCGCCACCAGACCCAGTTGCTTCCAGATCTGGTCCAAAATGAAAGAGAAGACCCCAAGTTGTGGTGTTCTCACAGACACAGTCAGGTCTCTCTTAAGTCCCATGTCTTTGTTATGCACCTGGAGCTGAGAGATGCGGTCATGTGCGGCTGATGAGTTTGTGCTCACACTGCCCCATGCCAAAGCACAGCTCCAGACTGACGCTGGAGAGGTAAGATCTGCAGACCTTGTCGTGATGAGAGCCGATGCTAGGTTTACTCCCACCAGGCTTGGCCGAAAGAGGTGGTAGAATAACCAACCATCAGACAGCAGCTTTTGGATCCCCACCAATCCCTACGACCAGAGCTAACCTTCAACATCCACCCACCTCCCAGCGGCCACCCCAGTGCGTTCTTCACCCCAGCACATTCCCCTCCTCTCAGCCTCCCACTGCCCACCAATCC